GCGACGGCCTACTTTCGACATGACCAGCACGCCAGCATTGACCGTTGGTGCAATATCTCCAGAACAGACTGTATTGACCCCGCAAATCCAGCAATTTATCCGAGAGGAAGTGGCACGCCAGTTGTCCCTTGCCCCCTTGCTTCCCAGCAATACGCATGGGCTGACCTCGTCACTGCGCCAAACCATCGAAGAGCAAGTCTGCGAGGCACTTCCCCCCACGTACCAGCCACCACCTGTGTCCGCTCCCCTGACTTACGCTGACGTCGCGCGAAGGCAGGTACATGCGCCGTCAAACGTCGTCGACCCTGCCCACCAAGCGAACGCCTTCTACGCAACACACGTACCGGCAGGCTCGCATGTTCCCATTTACCGCCGTCCTTCAAAGCTTCCCAACAACCCTTGGCGTACATCGGATAACAGACCTATCTGCTATTACTGTCGTCAGCCTGGCCATGTTGAGCGGTTCTGTCGCCGGCGCGTCCCTCACTCAGGCATTATTGATGGCACCTACGGCTACGCCCCCACAGAACCACCACAGACGCTGCCGTTCCATGCAGCTTCGGACACTTCTCCGCCGAGCCGCCGCGCCTTCAACCCACGCCGATCGCCTTCCCCGCGCCGACGTTCGCCTTCACCAATGCTTCGGCGTGCACCACCTGCCCAAACGGAAAACTGACCATCGCAGTTCCGGAGGCAAGAACTGCGCCACCGTCGAACTCCACAAGGCCTCGTTCTCTACCGAATAATGAAATAACTGTCTTGATTGAAGGTATCCCCGTTCAAGCATTAATAGATACCGGAGCTGCCGTGTCTGTATTGAGTGAAGCATTGTGTCGCAAGTTAAGAAAAGTTACGATTCCGCTTTCTGGTCTCTCCCTTCGTACGGCAACAGCGCATCACGTGAACCCTTCTATGACGTGCACGGCTCGGTTAATCATCCAGGGCGTTCTGTACGTGGTTGAATTTATCGTGTTTCCGCACTGCTCACACGACGTCATATTAGGCTGGGACTTCCTTTCCACACATCATGCCGTTGTTGATTGTGCCCGGGCCGAACTAGAATTGTCATCGCTCTCCGACGACGATTATAATAAGCCTTCTATTTCTCGTGTTGTCGTCGCCGCGGAGACTGATATTCCACCTATGTCTTCTGTTATTGTGCCGATCTCGTGCGACCATGCCGCTTTTTCGGACGTCATGTTCACGCCGTCAGAAGACTTCACTTCTCGAAAAAACGTTCTTCTGCCTTTTGCTCTTCTGACGGTCGAAGCCACTTGCGCAAACATTTATGCCACGAATCTCCTTTCTGTACCAGTCACCCTATTCCGTGGCGAATGCATCGGCCGCCTTGAGGACATCGATTGTGTTTGCACCAGTCAACTGCCCTATCAAGCAAAAAGCCTTGAGATCGCCAGTGTTACTTCCGCTCTCACATCCGCCACCTCTTCCCTCGACGTCTTCCTTCCATCGATTGATCCTGACCTTCCTGTTGACCAACGAACTCAACTCTTGACACTTCTCGACCACTTCCGCTCATCGTTCGACTTCAAACAAACCAGTCTGGGCCGAACATCTGCAATTGTCCATCGTATTGACACTGGCACCCACGCACCATTGCGTCAGCGTCCATACCGGGTCTCCCACGCCGAACGCCAAGTTATAGACGATCAAGTGTCTGATATGCTCAATCGTGGCGTTATACAGCCGTCTAACAGTCCGTGGGCCTCCCCGGTGGTACTGGTCAAAAAGAAGGACGGGGGCATCCGATTCTGTGTGGATTACAGGCGCCTTAACAAGATCACGCGCAAAGATGTTTATCCGCTCCCCAGAATTGACGACGCTCTCGACTGTTTGCAAGGTGCAGAATTCTTTTCTTCGCTGGATCTTCGATCGGGATACTGGCAGGTACCCATGGATGAAGCTGACCGCGCCAAGACTGCGTTTGTAACTCCGGACGGCTTGTACGAGTTTAACGTGATGCCGTTCGGCCTTTGTAACGCCCCAGCCACCTTCGAGCGTCTGATGGACAACATACTTCGAGGCCTTAAATGGCAGACGTGTCTTTGCTATTTGGACGACGTCGTCGTTTTTTCAAAAGACTTCGATACCCATCTTCTGCGCCTCGCAAGTGTCCTGCATTGCCTTACACATGCTGGGCTCCAACTAAATTTGAAAAAGTGCCATTTTGCCGCCCGGAAGCTCACCATCTTAGGGCATGTTGTCAGCAAGGACGGCGTTCTACCTGATCCTGGAAAACTCCGTGCTGTCGCTCAGTTTCCGAAGCCATCGACACTTAAGGAACTCCGGAGCTTTATCGGCTTATGTTCATACTTTCGCCGATTTGTCCGTAATTTTGCATCTGTCATGGCCCCTTTAACACGGCTACTTTCTGACACCGAGGGCATTTCGGCGTGGTCTTCCAATTGCGATAAGGCATTCGCGAAACTACGTCAATTGCTGACATCTCCACCGATTCTCCGTCACTTTGATCCTGATGCCCCTACAGAAATACACACCGACGCAAGTGGAGTCGGACTTGGCGCTATTCTTGCTCAACGCAAGTCTGGATACGACGAGTACGTCGTTTCTTATGCCAGTCGCACTCTTACTAGGGCTGAACAGAATTATTCAGTCACAGAAAAAGAATGTCTAGCCATCGTCTGGGCAATCACAAAATTTCGACCCTACGTCTATGGCCGTCCATTTGACGTCGTGACTGATCACCACGCCCTCTGCTGGTTATCGTCACTAAAAGACCCATCTGGCCGTCTCGCTCGTTGGGCGTTACGCCTCCAAGACTATGATATCCGTGTCGTCTACAGGTCAGGCCGCAAACATTCAGATGCCGACGCTCTCTCCCGCTCTCCACTTCCCCATGAACACGGAAGTACTTCTGTATCCAGCCTCGATGCTGTGGCACTTTCGTACGCGGACATGCCCTATGAACAGCGCCAAGACGCTTGGATAGCCTCTATGATAGAGTTACTGTCTCAGCCGTCCCAAGTTACGCCCAATCGTTCACTGCAGTGCACAGCTCGACACTTTACCATCCGCGATGGACTCCTGTACCGTCGCAACTACCTTTCTGACGGCCGCAAGTGGTTGCTTGTGATTCCTCGCCACCTACGTGCCGACATTTGCGACTCTTTTCACGCGGATCCTCAATGCGGCCACGCCGGTGTGATAAAAACGTATGCACGTCTCCGGCTGCGGTACTATTGGCGCGGAATGTACCGCTTTGTCCGACAGTACGTGCGTTCGTGCTCCAAATGTCAACGCCGAAAAAGCCCACCACACATAGCCAATGGACAACTGCAGCCGTTACCTTGCCCCTCCCGCCCTTTCGACCGCATCGGAATTGACTTGTACGGTCCCCTTCCCTATACGCCTAACGGGAACCGCTGGGTGATTGTCGCCATTGATCACTTGACACGCTATGCTGAAACTGCTGCGCTGCCAGAGGCCACATCACGTGAAGTTGGCTTATTTATCCTTCACAATCTCATTCTACGCCATGGCGCGCCTCGTGAGCTACTCAGTGACCGCGGCCGTACGTTCCTCTCCGAAGCGGTACAAGCCCTTCTTCGCGAATGCAACGTTGTGCATCGGACAACCAGCGCATACCATCCGCAAACGAATGGAATGACCGAACGGTTTAACCGCTCACTGGGCGACATGCTATCCATGTACGTGTCCGCTGATCACACCAACTGGGACCGCATACTGCCCTTTGTAACTTACGCTTACAACAGCGCCACTCAGTCTACGACAGGATTCTCTCCGTTCTTCCTCCTTTACGGGCGCGAACCTTCCTCATTCATGGACACCATTCTCTTGTATCATCCAGACGCTTCGGAATCCACAACTCTATCTGAAGTCGCCACCTATGCAGAAGAATGCAGGCAACTCGCGCGTTCCTTAACCGCCCAAGATCAAGCGTACCAGAAGAACCGTCACGACGAAAACCTGTCTTCGCAGTCATACTCGCCTGGCGCCTTGGTATGGCTTCGGGTTCCCTCATCTGTTCCTGGTCTTTCCACCAAGCTACTGCCGAAGTACGAAGGCCCCTACCGAGTCCTACGTCAGGCCTCACCGGTTAACTATATTGTTGAGCCGGTTCAACCATCAACAGACCGACGGCATCGAGGCCGCGAGACTGTTCACGTAGATCGATTGAAGCCGCACTACGACCCACCCGTCGTACCCGTTCCATAGGTCGCCAGGATGGCTCCTTTTCTGAGGGGGGAGTGATTTGTAGCATTGATATTTGGCACAGGCCGGAACGCCAGCTGAAGAAGAGAAGGAAGAGTGTTGTTGCTGCTCGCGCTCGCTCCGCTTGACAGCTGGTCGGTTCTACCGCTACGTTTTTCACAAAGTAAACGTCTCTTCTGCTCACCACTAAAGGTGTACTATCAATATATATATATATATATATATATATATATATATATATATATGAGAGAGAGAGAGAGAGAGAGTCACGAGCAGCAAAGGAAGGGGGAGAGAACTATACATAGAGAAAGAAACAGGCAGAGAGGATTGTGAACAAATGGAAGAAATTCAATAAATCATAGAAGGTGAGGAAATAACTAAGGAGCTAAATGGATAACACAGCAAGAAGGGCACAAAGAGAGAAAAAGATTTAAAAACAGGCAAAAAAAAGAGATCAAGCATCAATCATGTATAGTATTGCAAAGGGGTAAGAGAGAAATATGCGGGAGGGTAAAAGTCTAACTAAGCCAAGGCCAGCTAGGTGCCCACCAGCTCTGCTGTTACCAAGCATAGCGCGGCTTTGCACAGGCTGCGCTAACCTTCTTTTCTTTAATGGGTTGGCTGTCTGACCTTTCTGCTAGCACCGCTGTGTGAGCCTCACACATTTTGAGAGCTTGTCTGTCAATCAATGGTGGGAGAGAGGGGAGGGGGAGTGTTTTTGCTTGCTTTATGACTGCTTGCCACCTGGTGTCCTACTTACTATCGTAACAAACCTGTGCAATGTGCAGACGCACCTGTGTGCAAGACGCACCAGAAATGGGTGTACGGAGCCTCCAAGCAAGAGACGGTGTCCGTGCGCTGCGAGCTGGACGCCGACCCCACCGAGACACAATTTCGGTGGGTGTTCAACAGCTCGTCGTCCGGTCGGCGCAGAGACCTGGCGCCGCGGGACGTTTCTTCGAGTGGTCCCCGCAGCACACTGGCGTTTGCTGTGCGCTCGGACGAAGACTACGGGACGCTTCTCTGTTGGGGCACGAACTCCGTCGGCATACAGCGAGACCCCTGCGCCTTCTCGATCGTGCCCGCTGGTGAGTACGAACACCCTGTAGGCACGAAACAACAATCTCACAAGGATGAGACACGTTTATGGGACAGGTGTTCTTCATATAAGAACCATACACGTTTCTTTCTAGTGAGACTAAGGCTCCACGCTTGTTGAAATGTAGAAACTCGGTTACCATCAAATAGCCTAGATTTCTTGGTGGAACAGTCTGCAGTCGGCCACCTTCAAGGCGAGATTCTGCTTTCAAAAACGATTACATGGGCACATGGTGCCCCTTGAAAGCGTGCTTCGTTGCAATATTATAAATTGTGTAAGGAAGCCCACTGCTTAGAAAAAGTAAGGGCACGAGTTTGTATGAACCCGACCGATAGCTCGCGGTAGGCCTGCCGTATACCAAATTTGTTGGTTGTAATGTTTTATTTTATATGACCAACCAGCCGTCTTTACTTATCGTGAACAATGTTGACTAGCTCTGGTCAATGTAGGATTCTGCAGGCTACTGCCGATTACCGGTCGTTTGCGTTGCTATCAAGGTGATGCTAAGGGCTTCTTCTGAAATTCATTTCTAGCTTTTCACTTAAACGTTTATAATTCGTGCTTTTAGCGCAATAGCGTCAAAGAGCTCGTTTCGCAAAAATTCCGGCATCGACGTCGGCTTCGTTGGTTGTGAGCGAAAAATCATAATTTTATGCATGACTGGAAAGTCGAGAATGATGAAAATGTAATAGATAATTAGAAAATCCTGAGTCAGCGTGGGTATCTAACCCGGGTGACACGGGTCCAAGTGCGAATTTAACCCGGGTCGTTTGCTTGGCGGATGTTCTACCACATAGCCATGCGTCTGCTTGCGAATACATTGAAAATCTGAAAGGCAGTGAAATGCAGTGAAAGGGACACATGTTTTACAAACACGCGTGTCTTGTGCGCATGCTTTACGATACAACATAAAATATGGCAGTAATAATGCGTGGTGCAAGCACTCATTGCAATCAGGCGTCAGATTTCGTTTGTTTTGTTTTGCCGTCAAAAATATTTTGGCTCTCTCATACCCACAAAGGGGAATGGCCACAATGTGCCTTATGGCAGAAACTTAAATACCATGCTTGTTAAAAGAGAGAGAGAAATCAGATTAAAATGATATGAATAATGTCGTACTTCAAAATTAAATAAATAAAGTGAAAAGGCAAAATGATTCAACAAAACAGATTTTTTAAATAGCAAGAAAGATGCAGGGGGACAAAGAATTGGATTATTCTGGTGGTACTACTAGCAACGTATTCTCCCGATTGCTTGAATTAATTAATATAGCGTGGACACATCAGCACTGCCTGCCCCCTACTGACTGGCCCCAAACTTTAAAAGGGCGGGTGTATCAAATGCAATCCCAGCATACCAATCGGCCCTTTGAGAACCAACCATTCGGCGGAGTGAGGCTAAATGGCGGCATATGAGAAGGAACTTATCTATTGCTTGCAGTTCATTGCAAACTGCACATAGGTTAGTTATGAAAATTCAGATTTGTGAAGATAACAATAAAAGCGAGGGACTCTACAGCGAAAGCTTGTGAGGGTCCCCTCACAATGACGGAAAAGGCATTTTGCAGTGTTCCATGTGAACTGCAAGTGCCGGAACTCTTTAGATCGTAGGAGCGATGTTTCGTTGTTTTTCAAGACTAACAGGCGTTTCAATCATTCTGCAGGTACATAACTTGTGGTTATCATAATGACTTCATTGCTTTAAGCCGGTAACCCTCTACAAAAGGCACACACGGTACTGCGCTTGTTAATGTCACGTATAGTGGGTGCATAGCAAGCCCGAAAAGGTTTCATGCACTAGGTGTTTAAAGTACGCACTAAGAACAAGATATTGCTATCGCGTTCAACTCCTAGAGGTGAAGCTTTAGGGTCCCCCAAATGTTTTATTTGAGGCAGAGAACAAAATAAAAACACTGCTGAACATGCCTTGTCGGCCATCTATTCGCGTTGAGACAAGGTGGAATTACAAAGCACAAAAGAAAAATGTGCCATTTAAGAGGAAAAAAGCAACACTGCAGTTCTCAGCGTAAAAAAAAACAAATCGAAGAATAAGTGAAAAACGTTTAAGGAAAGCATGGCTCGTCGAACATAACAATGAACAACAAAACCAATGCTGAAATTAGCTGCAGTGCAAAATTACATATGGATAACGTGTGAATCGTAAGAATAATGCCGGCACTCTGTAAAGGGTGCTGTGTAAAAGTAAGGCTAGAAACCCACTAGAGGGACAAATATTAGCATTGCTGAAAGTGCGCGTAGCTGTGGGAAAAGCCAAGACACACTTGCAAAACGTGTGCTCGCACACAACAGAAGAAGGGTGCACGTGTAAAATGCGTACCCTTCTACCACAGACACGCGCATGCACTTCAGTGGCACGCAGTGACAACCTGTGTAACACGATATCAGGTTTCACATACACAAGGAATCGAAACAAGTTAGTTTTCTGACACAGGAACACCAAAATATCTCTACAGAAGCGTGGTAGAGAAGGAAGAAAGCGAGTCAATGCACTATTGTAACGTTTGTTTCATGTTAGTACAACGAGAAACTTCCCTCGAACTTCACTCCTGCATCTAAACTATCGATCCCCCCTTGGTGTCTTATTCGACCCACAATGCACCTTAGTGTACCAGGGATCCGGAGGAAATCTGAGCTTTCGTCGCCCGCGCTGAAACAACTGTCTCTTCTTCATTTGCACGAGAAATACTCAGTGTAAATATATATACCGATGGCTCAACGAACCACCAGTGTTCGTCAGGTGCAGTAGTTGTCTCAGCAAGAGGTGTTACCATCAGCTTCAGGACTGACCACTCCATCCCATCTACAACAGCGGAACTAGCTGCTCTGCGCACTGCACTTTGTGTGGTCAATCGGGAACCACCGCAACAATGGTCGATTTTCAGCGACTCAAGGGCTGCCCTACAATCTGTGCTCTCAGCACTGCGTCGCGGGCTGCACGAACAGCTTGTTTTCGAAATTCGATGCCTTCTCCACACTTCACACAAGAAAGGGCATCATGTGACGCTTCAATGGCTGCGAAGTCACTGCGGCGTCATAGGGAATGAACAGGCCGATACTGCCTCGCGGGCAGCTGTTGAAGGAACACGAGAAGAAGCCATACCACTTTCGCGGGCCGATGCTGCCAGTAATCTTCGACGACTTGCGCGTGAAATCACGTTTTCACTATGGTGCCCACCAAGCAACGAGACGAATCGTCAACACCACCTGGCCTCTTTGACGGCTCTCAGCATGCCCACTGGGATCGACCGAAGAGCAGTCACCCTTTTTCAACCATTATGTCTAGGAGTGGCATTTACAAAATGTCATTTCTTTGTCATAGGAATGGCCGACAACGCTCTCTGCGATGCCTGTCATTGCGAAGAGACGTCACGCCATATCGTGTGCGACGTTCCGTTGTATGACATCCAAGAGAGCCACTGGCGTCCGTTCTTGCGCGTATCGACAACAGCCAAATGTCTGTGGACACTATTCTGTCAAGTGCCCGAAAGAAGACATTGCAACAGAAGGCGACGAAAGCTCTGTTGAAATCCCTACGTGACGCAGACTTGAACAAGCGGCGGTAACAGCAATGTCACACACCGCAAAAGACAAGACTGGACTATGACTGAGTGTGCGTGCGTGTGCTGCCGAATGTGCTGCGTTTACCTCTTTTCCCTCTCTGCTCTCTATCTTTCATCCCCCCCATCCCCCTCCTATGCGCAGGGTAGCAAACCGGCTGCCTATAGGCTGGTTAATCTCCCCGCCGTTCTTTTCCTCCTATTTTCCTTCCTTGTTTTCTGTTAGTTAGGTTGTGTCATATTGTTGGAGCACGATAGATGCAGGACCAGCCAATTCGAGAGCAGAAGTGGAATGGTTTATTTTTCAGATACAGGTTACGTAGTCGTGACGCAGGTGGCACGAGGTGCAGCCCTTTAGCTCATTGGCAGCGCATATAAAGCAGCACTAGAGGAATACCTGGAATATTTTGCGACTCTGTAAGAATGATTTCAGCTTTCCTTTCAAATTCCACAAGCTATATTGTTGTTTCGTCGTACAGACTGCAAGTTCAAGTTTCGAGTCATTATGTTCCGGAAGGAGGTCTTATGGGATCTTGACAAAGTAAAAGAAAGAAAGCAAAATGAAAACAAAGCAAAACAGGTACAGTGGTCTAAATACGAAACTACGTCGAAATACTAAAAAAGCATATCCTAAGCATAATGGAATAATTGGAAGCGCAAACCAACGGGACTCAAGAGAAGAGACAAACAAGCGCAGACTTCAACTGGTTTATTGGAAACTTCTTTAAAGTTTTTTGTAATGGCTGCAGACGCCTTTGAAACGTATTGTTCTTGAGAGAGAACAACAAAACATCCTTCCTTATCAGCAGTAACATGCCTCAGGCTATTAGATACACTTCTTTCCCTTGCTCATTAACAACGACAATCTCGTACTGACAGACTTGGTGCCTTAGCTTGTATACGAGGGACTATTGGTCAGCTGTCAGCTCGTAATGAGTTCAGGTGCTACGTGACGCCAAACAGGCTCATAAAGAGTGTGCCACACTCGCCGCCATGGCTACTGAGGGCGCCGACTGGCACTCTCACGCTTAAATTCACATATATACCAAAAAAGTGACTGGGAGGATAGCCGTCGTGGTAGCTCAGTGGTAGAGCATCGAATGCGTTATTCGAAGGTCGCAAGTTCGGCTACAGCCCACGTCAAGTTATCTTTTCACCCACTTTTTTTTCTTCACATTACATTTCAATTCGGTCTAAAAACGTCCCCTATACTTTACTTTCCATGAAATTATTGTCTGATATATATATATATATATATATATATATATATATATATATATATATATATATATATATATATAGTTGCTTGAGGCTTTGAGTATTGGTACAGAGTGAAAATCTTGACAGGAGAGTTAAGACACATGCAGAAAAAGTAATCGAGAAGAAACGTAAATAATATATCTCCGTTTTTA